CCGCCTACCTGTATCGTTCCGCCGTTATCCACTATACTGGAGCTGCCTTTTCGCTTGTATAGGATGTCCCATATTACGGTTACGCTTGTATGAGCCTTTTCCATCATCTTTTCATCATCGATATTTTCCAACAGGGTTCCGTCTCGAGTTTTTTGCAAGCGGCAAACGTCACAGAAACGACTTCTCAGCGGGAAAACACGGAAACATCCTCTCGAGCTGCGACCCTTGACGAAGACTGCAGAAGGCATGACTCCGTGATTGAAGCCGAAATTTTGTGGACGATGAAAGTTGTGTCTTCACACTACTCATACAGCTCCAGCGGATCAGTTTCCGAGTTGTTCCGAAAGAAGTTTCCGGATAGCGATATCGCGAGAAGCTTCACTTGTTCGGAAAAAAAATGCGCGTACGTCGCGTGCCATGGTCTGCGCCCATTTTTCGCTTCTCAAGTCTTGGACATGATGGAGAAATTTGAACATTTTGTTGTCCTTTTTGATGAAACGTTAAACGAATACCTGCAAAAGAAAAAGCTTTATGTTCACGTGAGACTGTGGAACAATTCTGAGGTGACAACAAGGTATGTGACATCGGCATTCATGGGCCACAGCACAGCGGACGACCTCATGAAGAATTTGACGAAAGCGCTGGCGTCCTTTCCGATGAGCAAAATTGTTCAGCTTTCCATGGATGGCCCCAGTGTCAACTGGAGCCTTTTCCACAAGTTCCAGCAGCACATGAAAAATGACTTTCAAGTTCAGTGTTTGGATATTGGATCGTGTGGCCTTCACACAGTGCATAATGCCTACAAAGCTGGAATGCATGCAACGGGATGGCCAGTTGACACATATTTGTCCAGCTTATTCTCACTCTTTCATGATGCACCGGCCAGGCGAGAAGATTTTATTCGAGAGACAGGGAGCAGTGTGTTTCCACTTCCTTTTGTATCTCACCGTTGGATCGAGAACGTGCCCGTACTGGAAAGAGCCCTGGCCACATGGGAGCACTTGAAGCAATACTCTGAAGCAGTGAGTGGCCGCAGGCTGCCCGTGCCAAAATGCAGAGCATATGAAAACGTCAGTGCTTTTGTAAATGACCAGCTTGCACTTGCAAAATTGAACTTTTCCCTGAATGTTGCCATGGTTGTGCAGCCTTTCCTGACTGTTTTTCAGAGTGATTCTCCCAAGACGTTTTTGCTGGCAAAAGAACTTGAAAGTGTTCTGAGGAGCCTTCTGTCAAGGTTCGTAAAGTGCTCTGTAATGACAGAATCCACCAGCATCACGAAGCTGCTGCGAATTGATCTTGAAGATGCTGCCGTTTACACAGAACTTGAAAAGGTGGATGTTGGATGTGCAGCTGAGAAGATTTTGAAATGCTGCAAAGAGAGCGCCAAGTGTATTCTTGAGTTTAGGTACGAGTGCCGGAAGTTCCTTGTGAACATGATCCTGAAAGTCATGGAGAGAAGTCCCCTGAGGTACCCTGTCGTTCGTGGGTTGTCATGTTTCGACCCCACAGAGATGTCCAAGAGAGACACGTGCCTTGGGAAGCTAAAAATTGTGCTTAACTGCCTAATCGACAACAAGCTTCTCTCTGAGCACAAACGTGACATTGTGTGCACACAGTACATTCAGTTTTGTCTAGAAAAACGCCATGAACTACAGAACTATGAAAAAGATCATGAACGTCTGGACAGTTTTTTCGTGCGGCTGCTGAAGCACGATGCTTCATTCTCGCAGTTATGGGCTGTGGTGAAACTACTTCTCCTCCTGAGCCATGGGCAGGCCTCAGTGGAAAGAGGCTTCAGCATCAACAAGCAGGTTGCGGTCGAGAATTTGGCAGAGCTGTCGTATATTTCTCAACGAGTTATCTGCGAGGCTGTGAAAAGCCATGGTGGCCTGCTGAACGTTCCGATTTCAAAAGATTTGAAGGCGTCAGTGCGCCAAGCCCGGCATAGGTACGCTGCATACCTAGACGAACAAAAGAAACAAGCACTGTCACGGCAGGCAGCTTCAAAGAGAAAAGAGCTCGAGCAAGAGCTTGATAAGATGCACGGAAGGAAGTCAAAGCTTCAAAAAACTCTCAAGTGCCTGCTGGAATCTGCGGACCGTTTTTCGGAAGAAGCTGAAGCGAAAAACGACCTTACCTGCTTAGACAAGGCAAACAGCTTTCGTCGAACTGCTAAAGAAAAGGAGCTGGAGATAGCTTCTGTGGAAAAAGAAATCCATGCGAAAACTGCGCTGCTTCCATAAGTCTTGTAAGCAAATAAAATTTTGCGAACAATCCTTGAATTTTGCCATTTTTCATCCTTGAAATCCTTGAAAACTCCTTGAATTTTCAGTCAAATATTCTGTACGAACCCTGTCGTCAGCACAGCTTCCGTAAGGCACGACGAACAAGCATTTGGCAACCAATCAAGGCTAACGGCCCCATCGGACACCGCAGGCACGTCCACGAACAAGGCGATGCCATTCAACTATAACTTATTTAAAACTGTGGTTTGATAGTTTCGACCTCACCTTGTTTGGATTATCCAGCTTTTGGGATTACAACTTTTGTTTCTTGGTTTCGAAGAACTCAATGTCCTTGTCTTGGAAGCTTGGATGCTTTGTCCGGAGATGGCGTGTCAACCTCGTCGCCACCATGCAACTTTGAGCGAGTACTTCAGCACACAAAAACGCATTGCGGTCTGCAGCCGATATCGGCAAAGCCAAACAAACTTCAGATAACTTTCTTTGTAGCCACTTAACTTGGACATGGCTACGCGGCTCAGACAAACACGTAACTTTGCGTCCTAGTCCAACCGGGTGAGACTCCACGGCACAGCCACCGATGCCAGTCGAAAATTAGGATATGCGATATGATGATCCCGCTGCGGGGCACCCGAGACACGTAGTTCGGGAAGGTGTGGGGAAGAGGGAAAGGAGGTGACCGAGATGACCTTGTGCGGATCGCTGCGGTAGTTCCGGAAGCAGGTTGCAAATCAGCCACGGCCGGACTGAACTACAAAAAACGTGCCAACTAAAAAAAAAAAAGAAAAATTTGTTGAAGGTCTCGCGGACCCCAGAAGTGGCTTCGCAGACCCCCATTTGAGAACCACTGATCTACAGAATGAACACTAGACGTGCCACTGGGGCTAGCTGGCTTTCCGCTGAGTCAACAAACGCGCAATAAAATACACCAACCTCACCAGCCACGTTGTTGTCGGAGCATCCCACGTGCAGAGCACGAGCCGGCACAAGCTGTCTTGTGTGCACTGCCGCCTGCCTCCCGTGCACTAAAGATATCAGGGAGTCACGCATGCGCAGAACCATAACCTCCTTTTTACTCACAAATGTTGGCAGTTAGACGGAGGAGCCATAGAGTGCCCAATCGCAGATTTGAAGCGCGAAGATCTGGTAGCAAAAAGCATTTCACGGGGAATCTGGTATTCAGCGCAGAGCTTTTGCAACGACGAGGACCCGAAACATGGTTTTCAAACCCGACGAGAAAAGAAGTGATAGCGCGAGAAACGCGATAGGGGTACGAGCGGACATTCCATTGCTCGGGAGAAGTGTGTTTCGGCGTCTGGCCGCAGCGGGGCGCCCATTACATGAATATGCTCTCTTCCGTTGTCTGCCGATTTACACTTTTCCCTTCGGCGGCCGCGTCTCGTGGCGACCTGCCAGGCTTTCTCAGTATACAGGAGACTATGGCGGAACGCGTAGTAAGATCGGTCGATGACTTGATGAAACTGACCAACGTATGAAACAAATGACTAACACATGTCTGAAAAAAATGAGCCATAAGTCTAACGCAGAACAGAATATGCAGAAAGTGTTACTTCATACTTTTTTGAAAATGCAACCGCTCACCAAGCATGTACAATGGAATGCACTGTCCGGCTGCCCGGAGGTACGTACAGAGGGTTTGGCGAACCGACTCAAAGAGAGGCAGAAAAGTAAGTCAAAGGATACGGTTTGCTGCAAAACACTCAATATTGTTGACTCCATCGAAAGACAATACAGTTGAACAACGATATTCCTGATTCACTAATGCTCAGACGATACTCTTCAGGAGCTAAAGAAAACAGTACAATGCTTCAATGGCTATCGTGCAATCAAGCGCCTAGAAAAAAAAAACAGAATGCGAATCAATATTAAAACTAACACATGAACAATAATGCGCATCTCGGAAAATCAACTTTAGGAAGTTTATATTGGAAACATAAATCCAGAAATTTAATAAGGAGACGCACATATGTCTCGCTATTAATATAGACACACATTCTCTTCCAAAAAGTGTGCATCACGTGAAGTTTTTATAATAAGACATAAAAATCCGTTCACGTGTTGGCGCAGTTCGTCCCCAAAACTTTTGATTATACAGTGCGGTATTCATGTTAGCTGAGTCCGTATGAACGATACACGATTCTAACGCACACTGGGACAGTTCGGCATGGCGTGGCTTGCAGAATGAGAAACGGTCGACATCGGCGACCACATCTTACTCGGGCATACATCTTAGATACTTTCATGCTGGAGATGGAATGAATGGGTTAAGCTCGGCGCGTCACACTTTGGTTTTCAAATACCACCAAGAAGACAGCGCCCCCACCCCCTACGTCATTACCAATAGGAATACGCTGCGACACCTATACTCCGTTCACCGTTAAGCCAAGACTAGAAGCTCCGCCTTCAGCGCGAGCTTTCTGCCCTCGCTAAAACAAGTGTGAAGGCGAAGGCACGCGCAACCAAAGCACTCAGGAAGCCAGCGAGCTCGCGCTGAAAACGGAGCTTCTAGTCTCATCTTAAAGGTAAACGGAGTGGATCTCTCAATAGTATAGCCGCCAGCACGTCTCGCAGCGTCTCACCACGAGCGGGACGCGAGCACGCGCCTGCCGCTTTACAGCGTACTTCAGCGAGCTTCAGCGAGTCCGCCGCTTGGACGTGTCCGCCGATTGGACGAGTCGGAGACGCACTAACAACAATGACGTATTCAGCGGGCTTTGTTTTTCGGGTCACACCAATCTAGGCGGCTGAGGTAAGTGGCTGGGTAAGTTTTGATGCCGTAAATTCACGTCCCCAAAGGCCCATAAGGTCTGAGCCTCGAGTGTTCTCGCCAATCCAAGCTTCCATTCGCTCAAGCAGTTCCGGCGTGAAATGCGATCGCCAGTCGCCCGACGTTCCGTTGCGCACGTTGCACGCGGCTCTCGGTCCGCTCCTTATCTTCAGCAATTCAGCTTCCACATCTGGAGGCTGAGGAGGATGATTATAAATCACGGGGAGCTCCTCGGGATTGACCTCCAACATTTTCTTCATGTAACCTACACTGCTCTTCAACAAGATTTCGTCCATCAGGGAGTTTTCTCTTTCGAACATAGTCGCGTAAGGCTCACCGAGAAACTTGGCCAGCTCGAGTACAGTTCTGGCTGTGTCTGCCTTCAGCCCCTCGTAGGTCAGGAAAAATACGTTCGGTTGGTGTCTTTTTGCGTAGCCCGACAGCACGTGTTCCAGCTGATCTCCGTGACCAATCCTGCCATTGATGAAGGCGTCCACAAAGTCTTCAAAGGTTCCATCTTGAAAACGGAATTGCGGCAGTCCCTTGACGTGAGGGTAGAAAGAGACGCAAGTGTCATAAGGGTTGCGTGCCACGTAGATGTACCTGGCTTCCTCGTTGTATTGTAGCCGTCCAAAAGGCAAGTGTGTACGCAGAAGCCTTGGCGGTCGCTCGGAATGCCCAACTCCGTTTACTTCGATGAAAGGAGCTTGTCTAGCGAGGTCTGCGAGGTCCCTTGGAGATTGGCCTTTGTTCAGGATGAGCAGGACAATCTGCGTTACCCAGTGCGTTCCAGATTTGGGATGAGTGATAAGGATCACATCGCCGGCAGTTGGCTTGAACCTCGAGGCTTCGCGATACACCTCTGGTTTCACCAATGGGGTCCGGGGGACGCCGTCGATCATCTGGAGGTAGGGAGTTCTTTTGGGTGCCTCATTCATGTTGACTTTCTTGGTTCTTCTTGATGGACCTGTAGAAACGATGACAAAAGTATTTTTATGGATGAAAAAAGTATAAAACAATTAAAACAGGGACAACACAACCACATCTTTCAACTAGCAACAGACGAGTAAACTTTCAACAGCGAGCAGCCGACTATACCCAGTAAGAGTAGGGGAGAGAAGGGGGAGAGAAGGAAAGATAAGAAACGCGAAGTGCAAGTTAGGATGGTAAGGTTATCTCGGATTTTAAAAATTCAACCTGAGTTTTCTCAGATCTTAAAAATTCAACCTCAGTTTTCTCGGATTTTAAAAATCCGAGATAACCCTACCACCCTGACTTGCACTTCGCGTTTCTTATCTTTCCGTCTCTCCCCCTTCTCTCCCCTACTCCTACTGGGTATAGTCGGCTGCTCGCTGTTCAAAGTTTACTCGTCTGTTGCTAGTTGAAAGATGTGGTTGTGCTGTCCCTGTTTTAAGTGTTTTATTCTTTCTTCATCCATGACTTAAACCAACACGCTCTTCTCCCAAGCAAAGTATTTTTACTCAGCGACCCAACAAAGAAATGATTTTGCGCACAAAAGCGCACCCCGAAGTGAAATTGACCGATCTTTAAGACAGGTGCACTAAAACTTAGTTCACTGTATATATTTGTATCTGTAGAACACTTTGACTAAGTGAAACCATATACAAATAAAACGAAAAGTTACAAGCGTTTCGTCATACTACAAGAAACGTTTTCTTGGGTAAGCCTTACATAAGCAACATGAATAAATTAACCCCTGGAAAAACTCGAGTGTCAATATATACCGTGATCTCTGATGCTGTATCCCCCCCCCCCCTCGCCCCCCCCCCCCCCCCCCCAAGCCCAGTTCTTTCTTTTTTATGCAGAATTGCGTTTTTGCTGAAGCCTCATTGATTTTGTATTGAAAAGTGCCACAGTACCCTCTAGGAAAGTTGTTCATATTAAAGAGGAACTCCACCGATTTTCGACCAACCTAATCCAAAGGCATCACCTGGATGAAGATGAATTTCTGATTCCGAAATGCTACCTTGTACTCCCAGATTCACTTCAGTTTCACGCACGTCCGCCACGAAAGCTAGGGGCAGACGTCTGTCCCTTGCGCTCCACGGAAAATCAAGCTTTTGAGCGGAAATCGTGGTTTATGTGCGACAAATAAACACTACAAAGGAAGGGAAGAGTGGTCCAGTTTCGGCGGTTGGGACTCTTAAGCCGGTGAGTCAAGAACTTTTGATTTTACGGCGGTTCTCGTGATTCGGGCCCACGAGGTGGCCACTAACCTTCGTTAGGCCAGGCTCCGCCAGGAGCGTGGGGTCGGGATTCTCTCGGTACGCCGAAAATCTAAAGCATGGAAATGATCGAAGTGAAGGGCAGAGACATCTCGCCGAAAACCTCGCAGGAAACTAGATGGCTCACTGCGCACGAGCGGAAAAGAAAACGAGGAAAGCCGCCATCGAGAAAGCCGGCGGAAAACCTCAAGGTCATCCTTCACCCACGCGGCGGCTTCGACGCGGCGCAGTTGGGGACCGTCGCCGTGAGTGACGGCATGCTGCGCGCAGCGGAGATCAGCTACGACGAAGCGTGCAGCGATACACTGCGCATGAATGTCAGACAGAAGGCGCTCACAGTGAGCACGACCAGCAGGGAAAACACTTTCAGATACAGTGAAATCACCAGCATCCGGATAAGCACAAAGGACTACAGGCGGCGGCTTACATAACGGCACCCGAAGATATCAGTAAGGGAATCATCCACGGCATAACTGAAGAAGAGACACCATGATGGCATGTAGCGAAGCCTCGTAAATGCATGCTCAACGCCAGCATACATCCATACACGAAGGGTGGGCAACACCTGCTACCGAGGAACCGGCTATCCGATGCCTGCTTTATAAAAAAAAACAAAAAAAAAACATGAAGTTTGCCACCAGAGCGGGCACCTCGGCACAAGGGGGACGCGTGCACAAACCCGAAAAACGTAAGATGCCGGGGCTGCGGATTGGCAGAGCCTAACGGCGACCACATGTGCTCACCCTGTCGCTAGCTCTGCGGCAGAGATCATCAAACCGGACTCTTTACATTATAAGAGAACGGCAATGGAAGAGGATCCACCCACAGCGACAATGCTGCAGAGCCAGGGACTGGCCGAGCCGCTCGAGGGAGCGGCCGAGCGCCACCAAATACAACGGCACCAGAGGGGTCCGCTCTCACTCACTCTCCTTTCTGAGGTTGCCTAGGGGTGGAGGCAGAGGAGCCTGTGGATAATCCCGGTCCCGCTCTCGGCTCCCGTTCGGATTCAGGCCCCGGTCCGAACTCCGACCCCGGTCCGATTCAAGAAAGCCTCTGTCGCCGCCGCGACCGCAGCTACGGCAGAACGACCAACAACAGCAGCCGGGACCAGGCCCGCAGCCAGACCAACAACACCAGGTGAGCTGGCCGGATAGCGTCTTCCTACCTACTAGGCTTTCTGTCCCCTCTCCCTTTCCCTACCAGAGAGAAGCCTGTTAGAGCGCAAAACTCAAACCAATCTCTCTGTTTGAATAAAGATATTTTCTCCATCTAAGCCCCAAGTGGCAGATCCGCCCTAGAACAACAACTAGCCCAAATACAGTCCATGTTGAGTCAAGTGTTATAAGAGACCAGGAATCTTAAAGCAGAAATCGCTCAGCTAAAGTCAGAGAAAAAAAAAGCCAGGAGCCGCACATTGTCAGTTAGCAGCGGGAGGATACCAACACCGTCCCCCGCACCCGCGCAAAGAGCCACGGTTGCTGCGGCAGACTAGCGGAAAGCCGAAGAAAACCTGCCACCAAGGGACGAACTACTAGAAAATCTAACGGAGCTCGTAAAAGCGCAATTTAGTGCACTTAACGCAAAGATAGAACTACTCCGACAGCGCATGGACAGGATCGAACTGAGAACTACAGCCCTCGAAAGTACACTCGCAGAGTACCGGCCCGTAGCGGTGGGACCAATTTAGAACAAAACCTTGCCAAAGGCACGCCGCTGCTGAGAGTAGCTGTAACGACAGCAAAGCCACAGGGGCACCAACAAGTTGCAACTAGATATGACCCCGAACAGCAAAAGTACAGAGTACATAATTCGGCAATGGCACTGCCGCGGGTTTCGCCAGAAACGGGAAAACCTTCAGCAGTTCCTCACAGATTCTTCTGTAACGATAAAAATGAGGGGGCCCAGACGTCATCGCCATGCAGGAGACGATGCCACCGGCAAAATTAACGGGGTGCAAATCATATACCGCAGCCCCTGACGGAGGCGAAAGAAAAACGCTTGTCGTAACCCTTGTAAAGAGAAACTTAGCGGCAACACAGCACGAAACCACGGTAGCGAGCGTAGAGCACATCTTCATACAAATTATACCATCTCGCAAAAAGGAAGGCAGTCTCTTTGTCTTAAATGTATAGACGCTATGCACAGGCACCAGATTACAGTCGCCATTGCTGACCTTCTCTTGTCTTGCCCAGATGCCGAGCCAGTGAAGCAGCGGAGACTAGCTTCCACAAAGGCCAATGCTGGGCAGAAGGACACAGTAGAATCTAAAATGGCAATGGCCTCCCTGCTGTGGTCCTGGTGAAGTGAAGGAAACGTAATAAAAGGAAACAAAACCTGAAGGTCGCTTATGGCGGAGCCCATGCACTGCTGCTGCAAAGCGTCTACACAGCTGTCCAAGACAACGACAGCAGTTCCGCCCCTACTTCGCAAAACACTCGACATTGCCAAGGGAAACACGGTGGTGGTCGTTCGGGACTTTTACGAGCCGCACCCGGCATGGGGCTACCAAAATGACTACGTCAAAGGACGGAACGTTCGGGCAGACGCGCAGCACGTGGGACTTGCCCTGGTCACAGATCTCGAACAGCCTACGCGCATGGCTAACAGCGTGAGCGTGGACGCCCCACCGAACCTCACTTTTACGAAAAACACACCGCACCCCAAGTAGGTCAACACGCAGGAGGACCTGGACAGCAATCACTTTATTATTGCCACGACACTCTACACGGGACCCACAGAGAAACGGGGCAGGAAGCTCACGATGGTAGAATGGGACAGTTTCAGATCGATACGAGGGGGCAAACGCGAACGCGAGCGCGAATATGCACGCAAAGCAGCACGCGACTGTAACACAGACGCTACTTCAATTACATACATATAGCAAAGAACAGCGCAGTTACAGAGAGCAGTCAAACAGGCCACAAAAAAGATCCCTGAGGACGCTGGACTAGAGGCAGCCGACAGAAAACTCCTTCATCTGTGGAAGGTTCGTAGCAGCCCGCGGAAACCGTGGAGAGGCCAGAGGCATGAATCTGAACCTGCGGAGGAGAATAGCAAGGCTCCACAGAGACGTCGAGGATCCCGCCAACCGCCTAGCCCGGAAACAATGAGAGTCCACGTGCCGCAGCATGGAGGGCCAACTCGGGTTGTGCAAGACGTGGAACCTACTTCGCTGTCTCTTTGACCCCGACAGTATCAAGAAGTTATAGAAACAGAATCTCAAAAAGATCATACACCCGTACAACGGTACAGACAAGGAACTCTTACACGAAATACATAACAGGTACATTGGCACTACAACGAGGGAAACGCAAGAAGACTACACGGGTAGGGACAACCCCACGCTAGATGAAGAGATCACGGAAGTCAAGATTGGGGCTGAAATGCCCCGACGACGAACAAAATCAGCGCCGAGTCCAAATGGCATCACCAAAAAGACATGCGGAAACCTGAACGACGAGTCGATCAAGCAATTACGAGATACATAAACGAGCGCTCGGAGCGGGGCTAAATACCGCAGCAGTAGAAAACTGCGCAAGTCGTAATGGTACCCAAACCCGGCAATAAACTACAGATCGAGAACCTCCGGCTCATCTCCCTGACTTCGTTAGAGGGGAAACTGATGGAGCCCGTCATTCTCACGAGACTAAACAACCGCATGGAGGACCGGGGCCTGTATCCGTTCACGACGA